AATACTTTCCGAAGTGCCTTATTCTAAAATGGATTCAATAATAGAGCGAAAACTGGTTTTTAGAAATTGTAGCAAATGTATTAAAAATAAAAAACAGAAATACCTTATTTACATTAGTATTCAGACCCTTTGCTATTAGACTCAAAAATGAGCTCAGGTGCATCCTGTTTCCATTGATCATCCTTGAGATGTTTCTACAACTTGATTAGAGTCCACCTGTGGTAAATTAAATTGAATGGACATGATTTGAAAAGGCACACACCTGTCTATATAAGGTCCAACAGTTGACAAAAACCAAGCCATGAGGTCGAAGGAATTGACGGTAGAGCTCCGAGACAGGATTGAGTCGAGGCACAGATCTGGGGAAGGGCACCAAAAAATGCCTGCAGCATTCAATGTCCCCAAGAACACAGTGGCCTCCATCATACTTAAATGGAAGAAGTTTGGAACCACCAAATTGTAGCGTCATACCCAAGAAGACTCAAGGCTGTGATCACTACCAAAGCTGCTTTAGTAACGTACTGAGTAAAGGGTCTGAATGCTTATGTAAATGTGATAAGTATATATACAAAAGGGGGGACCAACTCCATATTAATGCCCATGATTTTGGAATGAGATGTTCGACGAGCAGGTGTCCACATACTTTTGGTCATAAAGTGTGTGTATATACAGCTGTGGAAAAAATTAAGAGACCACTGCAATTTGTTCTTAAATCAGCATCTCTACATGTATGACAACCATTCCATTCCAGTCTGTTGAATTCCAACACAGGCACACCTCATTCTACTGAATTAAGTACTGATTAGGTGATCACCTGAACCAAATCTTATTTAACAAGAAAAAGTATAAAAACCACTGCTGTGGTCATCACTTTCCTCTTGCAATAGGACCAGCTGGATGGCAAAAACAGTGCTAATAGTACCTCAAAAGTAATATTAATCGAAAAATAACTATTGACCATGCCAAAAGAGTTGAAAAGGAAAGTTTTGAGTGAGGAAAAGAAGGGTTAAATTCTGGCTTTACTGGCAGAGGGATACAGTGAGCGTCAGGTTGCTTCCATCCTTAAAATGTCAAAGACGGCGGTTCATAAGAACAAGGTCAAGCAGCAGACATTGGGGACAACAAAGCTACAGACCGGCAGAGGGCGAAAACGACTCTCTACTGACCGGGATGACCGCCAACTCATTCGAATGTCACTCAACAACCGTAGGATGACATCAAGTGACCTACAAAAAGAATGGCAAACGGCAGCTGGGGTGAAGTGCACGGCGAGGACGGTTCGAAACAGGCTCCTAGGGGCAGGGCTGAAGTCGTGCAAAGCTAGAAAAAAGCCATTCATCAATGAGAAGCAAAGTAGAGCCAGGCTGAGGTCTCGCACCCACTGTGAAGTTTGGTGGAGGATCGGTGATGATCTGGGGGTGCTTCAGCAAGGCTGGAATCGGGGAGATTTGTATTTGTGAAGGACGCATGAATCAAGCCACGTACAAGGTTGTCCTGGAAGAAAACTTGCTTCCTTTTGCTCTGACATTGTTCCCCAACTCTGAGGATTGGTTTTTCCAGCAGGACAATGCGCCATGCCACACAGCCAGGTCAATCAAGGTGTGGATGGAGGACCACCAGATCAAGACCCTGTCATGGCCAGCCCAAGCTCCAGACCTGAACCCCATTGAAAACTTCTGGAATGTGATCAAGAGGAAGATGGATGGTCACAAGCCATCAAACAAAGCCGAGCTGCTTGAATTTTTGCGCCAGGAGTGGCATAAAGTCACCCAACATCAATGTGAAAGACTGGTGGAGAGCATGCCAAGACGCATGAAAGCTGTGATTGAAAATCAGGGTTATTCCACCAAATATTGATTTCTGAACTCTTCCTAAGTTAAAACATTAGTATTGTGTTGTTTAAAAATGAACATTAACTTATTTTCTTAGCATTATTTGACGTCTGACAACTCTGCATCTTTTTTGTTATTTTGACCAGTTGTCATTTTCTGCAAATAAATGCTCTAAATGACAATATTTCTATTTGGAATTTGGGAGAAATGTTGTCAGTAGTTTATAGAATAAAACAAAAATGTTATTTTTACCCAAACACATACCTATAAATAGATAATTTTGCAGTGATTTCTTAATTTTTTCCACAGCTGTATATATACAGTACCACATATGGAATTTTACATTTTAGTCATTTAGCAGACGCTCTTATCCAGAGCGACTTACAGTTAGTGAGTGCATACATTATTTTTAAATTTTTTCATACTGGCCCCCTGTGGGAATCGAACCCACAACCCTGGCATTGCAAACACCATGCTCTACCAACTGAGCTACATCCCTGCCGGCCATTCCCTCCCCTACCCTGGGCCAATTGTGTACCACCCCATGGGTCTCCCGGTCGCGGCCGGCTACGACAGAGCCTGGATTCGAACCAGGATCTCTATTGGCACAGCTAGCTGAGTTGAGATGTGGTTGTGACTTGAACTCTGTGAAGCATTTATTTGGGCTGCAATTTCTGAGGTGCAGTTAACTCTAATGAACTTATCCTCTGCAGCAGAGATAACTCTGGGTCTTCCTTTCCTATGGTGGTCCTCATGAGAGCCAGTTTCATCATATCGCTTGATGGTTTTTGCAACTGTACTTAAAGAAACTTTCAAAGTTCTTGAAATGTTCCGTATTGACTGACCTTCATGTCTTAAAGTAATGATGGACTGTCATTTCTCTTTGCTTATTTGAGCTGTTCTTGCCATAATATGGACTTGGTATTTTACCAAATAGGGCTATCTTCTGTATACCACCCCTACCTTGTCACAACACAACTGATTGGCTCAAACGCATTAAGAAGGAAAGAAATTCCACAAATTAACTTTTAAGAAGGCACATGTTAATTGAAATGCATTCCAGGTGACTACCTCATTAAGCTGGTTGAGATAATGCCAAGAGTGTGCAAAGCTGTCATCAAGACAAAGGGTGGCTATTTGAAGAATCTCAAATATAAAATATATTTTTTGGTTACTACATGATTCCATATGTGTTATTTCATAGTTTTGATGTCTTCACTATTATTCTACAATGTAAAAAATCGTAATAATAAAGAAAACCCCTTGAATGAGTAGGTGTGTCCAAACTTTTGACTGGTAGTGTATATCATTTTATTGTATATTTTTTCAAATTAGAAAAGATTATTGAGGTCCGGACCTCGGTGACCTCATATGTAATCATGGCCATGTTTATATCTACAGGTACAGTGAGGGAAAAAAGTATTTGATCCCCTGCTGATTTTGTACGTTTGCCCACTGACAAAGACATGATAAGTCTATCATTTTAATGGTAGGTTTATTTGAACAGTGAGAGACAGAATAACAACAAAAAAATCCAGAAAATGCATGTCAAACATGTTATAAATTTGATTTGCATTTGGTAACACACTACGCCGTGAAGGACTGAAATCCTGCAGCGCCCCAAGGTCCCCCTGCTCAAGAAAGCACATATACAGGCCCATCTGAAGTTTGCCAATGAACATCTGAATGATTCAGAGGAGAACTGGGTGAAAGTGTTGTGGTCAGATGAGACCAAAATGGAGCTCTTTGGCATCAACTCAACTCGCCGTGTTTGGAGGAGGAGGAATGCTGCCTATGACCCCAAGAACAACATCCCCATCGTCAAACATGGAGGTGGAAACATTATGCTTTGGGGGTGTTTTTCTGCAAAGGGGACAGGAGAACTTCACCGCATCAAAGGGACGATGGACGGGGCCATGTACCGTCAAATCTTGGGTGAGAACCTCCTTCCCTCAGCCAGGGCATTAAAAATGGGTCGTGGATGGGTATTCCAGCATGACAATGACCCAAAACACACGGCCAAGGCAACAAAGGAGTGGCTCAAGAAGAAGCACATTAAGGTCCTGGAGTGGCCTAGCCAGTCTCCAGACCTTAATCCCATAGAAAATCTGTGGAGGGAGCTGAAGGTTCGAGTTGCCAAACGTCAGGCTCGAAACCTTAATGACTTGGAGAAGATCTGCAAAGAGGAGTGGGACAAAATCCCTCCTGAGAAGTGTGCAAATCTGCTGGCCAACTACAAGAAACGTCTGACCTCTGTGATTGTCAATAAGGGTTTTTCCACCAAGTACTAAGTCATGTTTTGCAGAGGGGTCAAATACTTATTTCCCTTATTAAAATGCAAATCCATTTATAACATTTTTGACATGCGTTGTTCTGGATTTTTTTGTTGTTATTCTGTCTCACTGTTCAAATAAACATACCATTAAAATTATAGACTGATCATGTCTTTGTCAGTGGGCAAACGTACAAAATCAGCAGGGGATCAAATACTTTTTTCCCTCACTGTATCCACCAACCAACAGATCTATTTCAGCTGTAAACCTATGACACGTTTCCTGAATGACCAGTATGAATTGAGCAAGGTTAATCGCTGCCACCGTATGGTCATAGTCAATATCTCTTCTCAGTATTTATGAGTTTGATAGTACTGTACAAACAAGATAAGTCAAAACAGTGTGATAAAATATACTATATCTTATTGCTAAAAGTGAGAAAAAAATAAGAATGTGCCATGTGTCAGTAGGACTAAAGTAATACCAGTGTAATAACCTTTGTAATAGTTGTTATGGGACATGCTAGGAGTCCTATGGTAATTATTTCCAACATTTGCTACAGTATTTAACATTAAATTGTATTTCAATAAAAATGTGCCCATTAGTGTGAAAAAAAAATGTAATATTTTTTAGCAACGTTTTATTAATAAATATTCTCTAACAAACATGAGGAAAAATAGGATATAAATAAGATACCATTTGTGTGATACATATGCTATTATCGTACAAAAGGAATATATTAAAATGGCCCATTGATCATACAATATAATAACATAATTATTACTGATGCTTTGTTGTCACATTTACTTAATGCTTAAGAGCACATTGGTCAAAGTGAATCGAGGTGATTGATTGCTGTGACATGGTCATTGTTGACATGTTCTGTCTTCTGCCTTTACATGGTGGTGATGTCAACAGGCCGAGGCAGAAAATAGATGGCCTTCTGGCCTGTGTGTGTCCTTGGGCCAGCCTTAGGCTGCCCGTTCCTCTTGAGCCCCAGGAACCAGTCTTTGTCTTGGTACTTCTGAGACCTGTACGTGTTGTAATGGTTCTCCTCTATCTTCTCCAGGAAGTAACAGTCATCCTTCAAGGTTTTCTGGAATAGACAAAGTTAGATTAAGAACATGTAGGGGTGGTTTCCTGGACAGAGATTAAACCTAGTCCTGGACTAAAAAGTATGCTCAATGGAGATTATCTGTGTCCGGAAATCTAGCCTCTAATCATAGCAATGAATGAAGACTTTGACTTCAAGATAGGAAACCCAAAGCAACCCATCTTGACACATCTGTTTGTCATTGCTTGATGATCGTGATTACCCCCAGGGTAATGGATTACTCATAATAATTCTTAGGTTCGTTAGGCTACATGCTCAAATGGTCTAGCTCAGGGAGGGAAAGCTACACAGTAGTTTTCCATCTGGGTTTTTGATTAGGAACTGTTTTATTTTATACAGAGTTTGATAAAGTAATTTCCACAATGTTGCTAGGAGAGACTCACCGATCCATAGAGAAGACCATCTTTGTCCATGGCCAGGTAACGGCCTGTCTCATGGCCCTTGATGGCCACCACACCAACACTCACTGCTTTTACCTTCAGGATGTCTAGAGCACAAATACACGGGCCGGTGTCAAAACTAAGGGGTGACTGTATTGGTAGTTGCCATCAGGTTGTCCCTAAAGCCTATCATGAGATCATTATTAGAAAGGTCTGAGAATGAGGCTGCTCCCTCTAAATACTTCACAAAAGTGATTTGTTCCTTAATGGTATAAATAAACGTATTCAACTATTTATTATTTCTGAGTTCAGTAGCCTATATGCCTATAGGATATTCTAAATAACTGTAAACATAAGGTGGTAGTAAGCCTATGCTGTCTACATGTCAATACCAAAACTAAAGCCTGAAGAAGGCACAGTGATGCTGAAATGTTGGTGGTTCACCAATAAATTACTGGGAGCTTAAAAATATAAAACCAACATGCAACAATTTCAACGCTATTGCTGAATTACAGTTCATATAAGGAAATCAGTCATTTGAAATGCAGTTGTGAGGATGGTTGGACGTACTGCCAAATTCTCTAAAACGACGTTGGAGGCGGTTTATGGTAGAGAAATTCACATTAAATTATCTGTCAACAGCTATGGTTGACATTACTACAGTCAGCATGCCAATTGCAAGCTCCCTCAAAACGTGAGACACTTGAGGCATTGTGTTGTGTGACAAAACTGCACATTTTAGAGTGGCCTTTTATTGTACCCAGCACAAGGTGCACCTGTGTAATGATCATGCTGTTTAATCATCTTCTTAATATGCCACACCTTTCAGGTGGATGGATTATCTTGACAAAGGATAAAATGCTCACTAACAGGGATGTAAACAAATTTGAGAGAAATACGCTTTTTGTGCATATGGAACATTTTGGGGTTGTTTTATTTGAGCTCATGGGACCACCACTTTACATGTTGCGTCTATATTTTTGTTCAGTGTATAAAGTGTGGGACTCTCTATATTTATGTTTATAGCCTACAATACCAAAACTAAACTAAACATTCATCATATATTTATCTAACTGTTTATTATAGTTCAGAATATCGAATACCTCCCAAAAACAATTCTTACCATCTTTATGTTCATCTCTGCTGCCCGCGACAGTCCCATCTTGTAGGATCCGCAGATGATGTCCTCCGTTCATACAGTAGAGCCGTGTGAGAGGTCTGTAGTTTTGCTGTGTCGTTGGCCCCAAGGAGAGCACAGTAATTTCTCCCTCTGTCATTCTGTGGCGTCCCTCTGGACGAGATATGCCCGCTAAATGCCCCTGTGGCTGGACAGAGTCATGGGACAATTGTTGATTCTGGTATCACTAAAAGTGTGGGATATGCGCTCTCATTTTATTCAAGGAAAATAAAAAAAAACGACCTGTAATGCGGGATAAGACCGCCTTATAATTTCATTACAAGAAAAAGCCGATTGCCTTACATGGACCTCCGGTTTGCTATGAAATGGCGCATGAATCAGATTGCGTTGCGTCCAAGCAAATCGCCACATGTGCAGACTTGTTTGCTTTCATTGTTTAAACGAATGTGATTCAATTCACATAGAAATTAGTTGCAAATGCCAGTGATATCATATTACAAATGTTTAAACAGATCACTTATATTAGAAAGCAAAGCATTCACAGAAAAGTATATTTCTATTAGACTATGTTTGTACAAAAATAAAATAGGACCTCTCTAAAATGACTTGAAAGACAACAGAACACAGTCCTAAAACTTTATAGCATATCAACATGTCTCTGTCTGCAGCCATAATGTAAAGTGCACAGCCACATCTATTCCCAGCTGTTTGGCTCCAAGGTCACCTGTCAATCACTCTAATCAGTCAAACAAGCGAAAGAGCCAACCTCTTGAGAATGACTAATCCCTGATCAAATCACTTCCTGGTCTGGATCAGTAGGCAGCACTGTAACTTTCACACAGAAAATGGAGACGACTTGCAGTGAAAATCTTCATAATCTTATGCCCCAGAAAAAGAGCCCTGTGCAGCTGTCATGGAGCCTGTGCCTGGCCTTTTTAATTTAAAGCAGAACGGTAGCCAGTGGTAGCCCTGTTATCATTAGCATACACAGGCTTAGCCAGACTCCACATCCGGAATGTCTTGGAAATCATTCTGGCCTTGGTTCAAAAAAAAAAGCCACAGGAGGAATGCTAGGCCTTCCCGCATAGAGCCTATGTTTCCAAGCAGCAGCAGTAGAAGGAGCAGCAGCAGCCACTCACTGTATTACTGGAAGTGGAACTGTTACTGTGGTGCCAGACAAGTCCCAGAGAACACCAGGACAAACCCCTGGGTGCGAATGACGTCCAGCGACTGGCTGAGAGTGGGTGGGACCGGAGCTGACCCAGACAGAACTTACCTGTGACAACGCCACATGACAATGCCCCAGATGAGCCAACATGTCCGCCCCGTCGCTTCTTCTTGAGTGTGAATTGGATGAGTCTCTCAGCGTCTGTGTGTCAGACCTCCTGTGGTAGTGGGTCTCCTGGGAGAACTGGCCCCTGTGGTGCAGTGGCTGCCTGGGTGACTCTGTCTGTATTTGTACTCCGTCAATCATCCAGGGTCCGCCCAGTGTCACCGGATCCATTTCAGCAGGCCGTCGTCAGGGCTATATTTAAACCACTAGCTCAGGGAGTGACGTGGGTCCCTGGCCTGCACCGGGAAGTGAGCAGGCTGCCTATGATATGATGCATTCCTATTTGGTCTCCTGGAGACATAAGAGAAAAACGTCACATAAACAATATTAATGTGAACTAAAACAGGAAGTGAGTGAGCAACACCTTTATAATACAGTGTTACACCATAACTCCCTCCATGGCATCTCAGTAAGAGAAAAGCAAAGCTCTTGTCTGTGGTTCTATTTTTACTGTGGTAGGCAAGGCAAGGCAGTGAGTGTTGCTGTAGATCCACACTGTCACCAACATAGGAAGTGCAGGCTGGATGAATAATTAACTCTGCCTCATGTGGACTGCTGTTTTTAGTCTTCAAGGGTCTTTTTTTCTCAACACTTTTTTGTTGTTGTTTTATTCTTACTTGTTTGTTTAAAATAAATGCACTGTTGGTTAAGGGCTGTAAGTAAGCATTTCACTGTAATGTCTGCACCTGTTGTATTCGGCGCATGTGACCAATAAAATTTGATTTGATTTGATTTGATTTTCCAAACTGTAGCCATCCAATAATTCATACACTACATCTGCATGTTAAATCATTTATAATACAGGCTAAGTGAAATAATGTTGAAAATACATCAGGTAACTTTAAAGACTTTCATTGGAGGCAGGATACATGGAGTATCCCCCAGACATCATTGATTTCAACAGCAAAATGTCAATTTTACAGTTGTGGACATGTATCATCACATTGTTGATTAGCATGGTTAAAGAGGGATATTTCTTTGTGAGATGTGAACTTTAAACATAATGATCATTGCATGTTATTAACAACGCACACGTCTCTGACCTACTTATCCCTCACCTATTCATTTTTCACAGCAATTTGAAAATCCAGGATTTGACGGGCCTCTTGTAGTACTTACTTAAACCAGGAGATGGCAGACAAGACCACCAATAAAATATAATAAGCTCTCTTTACAAATGCCTCAGAAATAGATTCCAGTCACAGATGACTGTACATCACAGGGGGCTGCTGAGGGGAGGACAGCTCATAATAATGGCTGGAATGGAGTGAATGGAATGGTATCAACCACACGGAAAACATGTTCGATTTGTTCGATACCATTCAATTTGTTCCGTTCCAGTTATTACCATGAGCCTGTCCTCCCCAATTAAGGTGCCACTGGCCGCCTGTGCTATACATGCATAGAAAGTGTTCTTTGTGGGCATTATGTAGAGGTAGTAGAGGTAGCCATTATCAATAAGTGAGACGCAGCCCATGGCTTAGGGCTTCCAATGGTGAATGACACCCAGTGGAATCCATATGTGAATTGTACAACACCAGCGGTATGACAGCAATGGGCCCCTGGCCTCTCTGGAAAAAGAATGAGAGAATATAACAGGCTCTTAAGTATCTTCCCCATCTACGAGTGCTCTGGAGCCTCGCCGAAATGTCCCAGCTGTGAGATCATCCCCGGCCTGGCTGATGAGTATATCAGAGAGTTCCCCTGAAGACTTCCTGATTGCTGTTTCTAACCTCCTCAGGACCCTCTAGAAACAGGCTTTTTGGACCAATGCTGGGGGGACTCAAAGGCCCACTGTGTCTCCCCCTGCCACACAGTTGGCTGGGGCTGAGGATGCTAGCCCTGGTTAAACTAGAGACAGAGAGGGGCATTCTCCTCCCCATCGTAACACCTTTCTCCTCTCTCTATGAGTCACTGGCTCAAGCCTCAGGGAATGATGCATGTGCTTCCCTGACATGGTTGGCCAGAGTTGTGGGTTCGATTCTCACGGGGGACCAGTATTAAAAAATGTATGCACTCACTAACTGTAAGTCGCTCTGGATAAGAGCGTCTGCTAAATGACTAATATGTAATATGTAAAATGGTGTGATTGCGCACCACTCATTCAACAAGGAATAATATTGTGGATGAACTATGTGATTCTAAAATGAATTCATTGTGCCTGAACAATTTAGTTAAACTGCTCCCTTATCTTGTAAAACATTACATCACATTCAATGTAAATGTTTATTTTTATGGTTTAGTTGAAAGCAGCTGGATCAAACCACCCTATAAAAGACTACTATAGACTACTAGAGAATGGGTCACTGGGACACTACTAGAATACATGGGACACTGTACTGTGCAGTATAAAGGACACTGTACAGTATACGGGACACTGTACAGTATACGGGACACTGTACTATACAGTATACGGGACACTGTACAGTATACGGGACACTGTACTGTACAGTATACGGGACACTACAGATACGGGACACTGTACTGTACAGTATACGGGACACTGTTAACAGTATACGGGACACTGTACAGTATACGGGACACTGTACAGTATACGGGACACTGTACTGTACAGTATACGGGACACTGTACTGTACAGTATACGGGACACTGTACAGCATACGGGACACTGTACTGTACAGTATATGGGACACTACTAGAATACATGGGAACTGTACTGTACAGTATACGGGACACTGTACTGTACAGTATACGGGACACTGTACAGTATACGGGACACTGTACTGTACAGTATATGGGACACTACTAGAATACATGGGACACTGTACTGTACAGTATACGGGACACTGTACTATACAGTATACGGGACACTGTACAGTATACGGGACACTGTACTGTACAGTATATGGGACACTACTAGAATACATGGGACACTGTACTGTACAGTATACGGGACACTGTACTATACAGTATACGGGACACTGTACAGTATACGGGACACTGTACTGTACAGTATACGGGACACTGATACAAAACTGTGCTCCGGGCAAGTTATAAACAATCAAGGAAGTGAATGATCCAGAGTCACCTTATTTACAGCGAGAGGCCTGGTTTAAGGCCCCTCACAGATTCTGATGTAAAATGATTTATTTGATTCTAGGAGCCTATGGAACCCATTGGTAAAGTAGTCCCCAAGCAATAAACCATGTTTTATTTTGGTTATCTCATTTATGTTATCTTATTTGTAGGCTCTAATCGGTATGAACTACCTAAAGTTATTCTTAAAGTACTTATTTTTGTTGTTGCACTATTTGCAGTTGTAATTGCAAATGAAAACTACATGGGAACTGAGTAGCCTAATTATTATGCATCAGCGATGATCTTATCATGTTGGAGGAAGTTGCACATCCAAATCTGGAGTTGCCAACACAGTAACCACAAGCAAATGGGGACATGTATTTTAATTGCACTTCTCAAATCTAAAGTGAAAGAACACTATTCCCACACATGAGATGATGATTTGTTACATGGGTAAACAGCACACACACACACACACACACACACACACACACACACACACACACACACACACACACACACACACTCTTTCTCTCTATGTATACAGTACCAGTCAAAAGATTGGACACACCTACTAATTCAAGGGTTTTTCTTTATTTTTTTAAACTATTTTCTACATTGTAGAATAATAGTGAAGACATCAAAACTATGAAATAACACATATGGAATCATGTAGTAACCAAAAAAGTGCTAAACAAATCAAAATATATTTTATATTTGAGATTCTTCAAAGTAGCCACCCTTTGCCTTGATGACAGCTTTGCACACTTCGGCCCTCCTGTAGCTCAGTTGGTAGAGCATGGCGCTTGCATCACCAGGGTTGTGGGTTCGATTCCCACAGGGGGCCAGTATGAAAAATGTATGCACTCACTAACTGTAAGTTGCTCGTCCGCTAAATGACTAAAATGTTTTTAAAAAAGGTGTGTAATTACCTAACAATTGCTCTCTCAATGGACTCTTAATTTAGAAGATTAAACAACAATTTTGTGCTTTGCTTATCCTAGCCTTAGCAGGTTGATGTAAAGAAAAAAAATATGCAATTCCCCGCTCTTTAAAGTGACGTCGCTGCGTTCTTGACCAACCAACCCTTCCTTTATGCACGCATCTCCTGCAACTGTAGTGCGCCTTCCCTACTCGACCGTTTTGGAACCGAGCAATGCTATTGGTCTAGAGCTGCATCCATCATAGGATTATCTGTTTCGGGGTAGGTTGGTAAGATGGAACGAACGCCGAAGCTTGAGAGAAAGCTCTGCATTTAAAACGCCCAGAGAAGAATCAGCAACTACCGTGCCTCGTTTTGTCTTTCACCTTCCTCCTCTTTTCCTGACCAGTATGACGTTGTCATGAGGAATGCACAGGTTACCTGGGATCGCTGACAGCCAAGAAGTGAATATTCTTTCAGCTCTTCCCTCCCATACAAGCACAGTTTTTCGCGTGAGATTTTTTGGGGGATATCGTTTGGATCCTAGGCTAAAATAAAGCAGATCCACGTTTGCCTGCCTGCATGTTGTAAGCAAGATGATTGCGTTGGCTATGTAGTGTAATGTAGACAGGTATCTGCATAGTGTTACTGTCTGTGTTCTGCTACCTTCTTAATTGGATTGCACATCACCAGTCAACGATTTCTTCCTCCTCCGACCTCGGGTGCTGTGGACTGGGAGGAAACATGGGACTGCCCGCTCTGGAGTTTAGTGACTGCTATCTGGACAGTCCCCAGTTCCGAGACAGATTAAAGTCTCACGAACTGGAACTGGACAAGACCAACAAGTTCATCAAAGAGCTAATCAAAGATGGGAAGGCGCTCATCCAAGCACTGAAAAGTAAGATATTCCATTTGCAATCTTGTACTTTATTGTGATGATGACTGCTCTTCTGTGCCCAGCTAAATTCCCAAACAACTATGAATGAAGACATTGCCCTATCATAGAGCCCAATGTGATAGATCTCTAATGTTCCTAAAGTGGATTTTAGATTTAATGTAGCCTATATTGTATATATAAAGTTTGTATGGTAATGTTTAACATTTCCATAATTGCCTGATCTTTTCATGCCTAATTAGTTGGTTTTAAGATGAAGGACTTAGCCTAGTCATTGAACGTCATCAGTGACAGTTCAGATAGAGGGCAGTAGAA